TTTGATCGAGGGCTCTCTCCCTTTGGTCTCATTTGCGGAGGACTCTTCACTCTTATCGAGGCTCGTGTTGTTAACCTGCCCATGCACTCTTGATCGCACAGGGGTATTAGGTCATGGTCTTGGATAATTCTCATTTGCCCAGAGGGTCCTTTGCCATGGCGGGGCCTTATATGTCAGCCTAGCGAGACACCATCGGTCATTTAGGGGCCCACCACGCTGGTCTTGTGTTCTTTTTGCTTGCTCTGAGGGCGCTATACTTGTTGACGGGAGCAGATGTATTGGCCTCCTGCGGAACCCATGATCGCTCAGGTTCCGTCCCTATTGTCCCTGGTGCCTTCGCCTTAGAGGAGCAGTCGAAATCGTGCCAATGAATTTTTACGCGCGATTGCCGAACGTAACTTTACATGCTGCCGGCGTCGTATGTAACATTTCCATTGGCTTTTGAGTGCGTGACACCTAATACACTGGTGCATCATTTTCTTAACATATTTTGAATGCTTTAGTATGTTGTACTCCTCAATAACAAAGGAAAAATTCTGCATTAATCATCAGCCATCAGCTGATTACATCGCCCAGCCGGCTAGCCGCAAATACATAAGCTAGTAATCAAGTCCATGGTTGGTTTTGATGGTATTAGCAGCCAAATCAAATCTATTTCGCCTATTGTTCCGAAACACTTAGCCTCAAAATCACAGCAATTAAAATTATCTGTAGAAATGAGTGAGCTCTATGCGTATGCGTGCGTAGCACGCTTATGCTTTATAGGGCTGCGTACGGTAAGACGGGTTTCCGTCTTTATTGAATAAATGACGGAGTAAATATGTACATACATCAATATGTGTGTGTGTGTGTGTGTGTGTGTGTGTGTGTGTGTGTGTGTGTGTGTGTGGTGTGTGTGTGTGTGTGTGTGTGTGTGTGTGTGTGTGTGTGTGTGTGTGTTGTGTGTGTGTGTGTGTGTGTGTGTGTGTGTGTGTGTGTGTGTGTGTGTGTGTGTGTGTGTGTGTGTGTGTGTGTGTGTATGTGTGTGTATAAAACACTTGTCCCAAAATGTAAGGACCGATATGCAAGGCTATTTTTGGGAGGGAGCCCCAAAATCCAGGGGTGCCCGTAATGGCATGCGGTCCCAACCCCTCTTAACGAAATCCTGGATCCGCCCCTTGTATACAATTTGATGGGCATTTCACGGCTGACCTTTTCTGACTCCCGAAGGTCAAACAGCTTGATGTCCCGTGAAATACCTTTGCGCAGCGAGTCAAAGCATCGTGGGCTACCGATGGCGCAAGAGTCTTCAAAATCGAAAGCAGTTGTCGATTTCTGCTGTGGCTGCAAACTTCTGCGTAAATGGGGATGCTCAAATAAGTGGGAGCCCCTGCCCGCCCAGCGCGAGGAACTGTCAGCCACGTTTCCGGCCCGAGCGCTCATTGGCTTGTCGCTGATCTATGGCTTAGCTAGGCAGGCCATCAACGTTTGGTTTACAACCAGCTGCAGATGTAAAACCCGAAGCCCGTCACGAAGCTCAGGTAAACTGGGGGCGTTTGCGGGTGTTTAGTTTCAGAAGTTATTGTGAGTGCCCAACGGATGCGTGTTGGCAACATGCCAGGACACTTCTCACAATGTTCCTTAGTTCAACACGCCGGGAACGGGGATGTGTGAGAGACCAAAGGTTCGGGGTCTGATTCCTTGCGGGGCCAGGCCTCCCTGCCGGGGTGAGAGGTAGGCGACGTCATATAGCCCCAGTAACTGTGTCGTTAAGTCCTAATGACACACGTGGAAGGCCGGCCTATTCGATGCGGGACGTTTTCTGCTATGTTCGATTATGACTGAGGCTGATGCGGCTTTAGGTCAGTCGGCGGCTGCTTCAATCAAAGACGGAAGCCGGTCATGCTGGTGGCCTTCTCCCTGCTATGCTGGTCCCCCTGTATGTTGATTTTGCATGCCTGTTCCCGCGGTTCATCTGAATACGAGATGGGATCAGCGTGTGCAGCGTAAACGCTGCTTTTTTGCCTTAGCTGAACTCTCAGGTAGGCTGCTGATCCGCGACGGCATGAGCAAACACGCAATTCAATGCAATCTCCAGCTGGATTGACTGAAAATGTGTCGCGCGCGCTTTTGGCCAATTCGACTCGAATTTCAACTGTCACAGTTCTACTTCAGCGTCCCTTGCTGTCCTGCTCCTGGCTTTCATTATACCCGGTTCCTGCGCCCGCCCACCTTGTCAACTGTTTTAAACCCCCTGACGCCATCGCCACCCTGACACCCTTTCTCAAGTCTTTGTTGGTGTCGCTAAACAATAATGAGACGTCCGTCATCTCGTGGGATAGGGTAAGGAAAGATTGGATGGCTCTTAAATTGCGTCCGTCTCGTCTGAAGTGGCCCAGATTCATGTGAGTGGCTCCAACCGCAATTTAAGCATCAAAGAAGGCTGCATTGGTATGAAACGTGATGATCCAGGGTGTAGGTACCTATTCAGTTAGGGAAGAGGGAGGCTGAAGGGCTCCAGCCCCCTCCCCCCCCAATTTTGAGAGAAAAGTGGGCAAAATCCGAAAGGAACCCGTTTTGTGGCGAATTTTGGGATGCTCATCATGTTTTCGCGGTCCCCCCCCCCCCCAACCCCTCTCGTCAACTCATTTTCCGAAACTATGCCGCTGGGACAATTGCAAAGTCTGTGGATCGCGTTGATTATGTGAGTGACACTGCATTGTTGTGGAGTCCCTAGTCTAACTACTTTCCGTGCTCCTGGTCATTTTTTTTTCTGGGACGCCAAAAATATGGGGAGATGCGTGCCCTCCAGCAGTTGAGATAACATAGAAGAATGGGGAGGGGGCTGGGAGCAGCCGTGGCTGCAGGGACCTGCTGACCCATTTGGTTCAATGCTTTTAGCGCTTAGATAAGGGTTTCACTTTATATACTGCCAGTCAGAGCCCCCAATGCTGGCTTAAGCCCCATCAACATATATGAACAATATGGGGAATACCAAATATCCGTGAAGTTAGCGATTCATTCAGTGATTCATTCACCAACGAGTTCTGACTTCTTTGTAAAAGGTCTAAAGCTCAATTCTGGCGCGAAAATAGCGAAAACGACCTTTATTTCGTTATATCATGTGACCTTCGAGGTTAAAAGCTGGGTAAAAGGACGGGGAGCTTCTTATCACCCACAAAATTCGGCTGATTTTAAACTTGCAAACATCAGAATGTTATCCACGAAAGGAACTAACGTCCGTCGCAAAGTCCTGACCTCCCAAGGTCACACTTCAAGGTCAAATTCAGGCTCAAAGGACGGGAAACTCCATATCATCCTACCGGCCGAATTTAATCTGCAAGCATCAACATATTAACCAGCGCAAAAACTGGCGTCCGCCAAAAATACCTGATCTGTCAAGAGCATCCTTCAAGGTCAAACGCGAGTTCAAAGCACGGCGAATTCCTTATCACCAAAAAACTACCCGCCAATTTTAAACATACTAGCACTATAATATTGACCACAGAAAGAGCTAGCGTCCATCAAAAAGTTCTGACCTCTCAAGGTCAAGTTTAAGCTCAAGGGACGTAGAACTCGATATCACCAAAAAATTACCGGCCGACTTTTTTAACATTCGGGCATCAGAATATTCACCACGAAAAGAGCTAGCGTCCGTTGAAACGTCCTGACATCTCAAGGTCATCCTTCAAGCTCACACATGTGCTCAATAACCGGCCGATTTCAAAGTTGTCAGGATTAGAATATTCACCACAGAAGGAACTATCGCCCGTCAAAAAGTCCCGACCTCTCAAGATCATCGACCGAGGTCAAATTCATTATTAAAGAAAGGGGAGTCCCACATACCAAAAAATTGCCAGTCGATTTTTAACTTGCGAGCATCAAGATATTTACAAGCGCGAGAGGTTGTCCTTTGGAGTTTCCCGTCGTTTGAGCCTGTGTTTGACCTTGAACGGTGATCTTGATAGGTCAGGATCTTTATGGACGCTTGTTCTTTCTGTGATGTATATTCTGGTGCTGGGAAGCTAAAAATCGGGCAGTAATTTTCTGATGGCCTGCAGTTTTCCGTCTTTTCAGCCTGAATTTGACCGTGAATTCCGAACTTGAGAGGTCAGGGCTTTATGACGGACGCTAGGTTTGATTGTGGTGAATATTTTGATGTTTGCAAGTTTAAAATCGGCCAGTAGTCTTGGGTGATATTGAGTTGCCCGTCCTTTGAGCCCTGGTTTGACCTTGAAGGATGACCTTGAAAGGTCAGGTCTCTTTGATGGACATTAGTTCTATCTGTAATGAATATTGTGTTTGCAAGTTTAAAATCGGCTTGTAATTTGTAGTGACATGGCGTTGCCCGTCACTCGAGCCCATGTTCGGCTTTGAAGGGTGACATTGAAAGGTCGCGCTTTTTTGACGGACGCTAATTCTTTCTGTGGTTAATATTCTGGCGCCGAGAAGCTTAAAATCAGCCGATCATTTTGGATTGATATGGTGTTCTCCGTCTTTTGACCTTGATTTTGGTCTTGAAGGTCGCGTGATTTTGCAAAGTAGACATAATTCTGTATGTTCTCGTGCCATAATTGACCTTGATATTTTTCAGAACAGCCGATGCTTTTCCTTCTGCCGACGCCCCCAGTCATGGGTTAAGCCGATTATTTCATATATTTGGCCAATAAGGATGCCGATAGTATGGTGGTTAACGCGTTTGCGTAAGCCTTTGCACGTCTGGGAGACCAGAGGTGCGGGGTTCGATTTCCCGCGGTGCCTGCCCTTCCTGCCAGGGTGACAGGCAGGCAATGTCACAAAGCCTCAGCAGCTGAGTGCGTCGCAAAGCCTCAATGACGACGATCGATTGGACCACCGGCACCTAGCGCCGTCCCCGTCCTCCCAGGTTTCCCAACAACTACTGAGGCGGCGTCACTTCTCTGGTTAAATGTCGCGCAGGCGAATGTCCAGTAGCGGCCTCAGCCGATAGATGGCGGTGAAGGCGGTGGGCGCGGCTCGCCGAGCGGCGGGCATTAGTCACTGTCGGTAGAGGGGTGAGACTTTCGTGCTCGACGCCGGGCCGTGGACGCTGTGTTCTTACCCAGACGATCGCCGGACCGCCACCCCCAGCGGCACGCAGGTGAGCGCTACTGCGTGGTGTCGGAGGCGGGGATAAGTGTCTCGTGTGACTTTGAGGCCACCACCAGTGGTCCAGCCGGCCGAGTAGGCTCCAGCACCGGTGTTGGTACGTGACTGAAAGCCGGCCGGCGTGGAGGGCGGTACGTCTGCTGTAACGCGCGCTCATCCCAATGTCTGTGGCCACTGTGCTGTTCGCGGCGGTGTGCGCGCCGCTGCATTCAAAGCTCGCCCTCGGGCAGACGACTTTACGATGCAATTCGGCAGTCGCTGTTGGTGTGACGCCGGCCACAGAGTTTTGACGTTCCGGCACGGCATGCGTGATGCAGCATTTCCCGCGAAAATAATTTTGTGCGGCAAGCTAGAGAGAACTGAACATTGGTCAGCTTTCAGAAGTTGTAAGCGATTGAGCAGGAGAAGCATATTCCAACTGCCGCGTGCCTATCTCTGCCTCCGATCAAACGACAGTTGCATGGCTGGTGGCGACCTGCAGTCAAATTCGATCTGCCCGACTCGTCGGCGCGGGCGCGCCTGGCATTCCCGGCCGTCACTGACCCGCGACAGCGCGCCGCTGCTCTGAGACGTTTGCCTGATGAGAGCCGTGTCACGTCTGTAGCATCGGTTCCCGTTAGACACGCGCGCGACAGCTGCAGACCGGGCCGGCGTCACAGCACGCCGGTGCCGGTACAGACGCCGGCACTCCGCGGCGACAGCCGGCGGGCCGTCCGCGGCCGAGAGCCGGGACACTGCGAGGTCAGCAACGTGGACACCGCCAGGGGCCGAGACACTACGGAGTCAGCAGCGCGGACACCGCCAGGGGCCGAGACACTGCGGGGTCAGCAGCGCGGACACCTCCAGGGGCCTGGACACTGTGGGGTCAGCAGCGCGGACACCGCCAGGGGCCGGGACACTGCGGGGTCAGCAGCGCGGACACCGCCAGGGGCCGGGACACTGCGGGGTCAGCAGCGCGGACACCGCCGAGCCCCAGCGGCAGTACCGGAGGCGAGGGGGGGGGGGGGGGCGACGGAGGAGGGCCGTCATGCAGTGTGATGTGCCATCCGTGCGATTTCTGTCGTGTTAGCCCCACGCGCGGCGCAGGAGGCATGTCGGGTCAATCCCGCCCTATGCCCTGTCGACACATCTCGTTCATCCATTTGGAATTTACTTATGCGTGGTAGCGCGCCCGAATTACCCTCTATAACGGTTTGCAATCGTCAAAAATGCAAAGATTGTCGGGTTGGCCGATAAGTCACGTGCAAGATAATCTCCTCTGCAAGATATTTTCCATTGATTTTCTTAGCCTGTCCTGCTCAAATGACGTCCAGTATTGTCTCTTTACTGCTTTCACCATGACCCTGAGCCTGATTATACACAATCCTGGTTATTCACTGGTCGTAACTGGCCGATGAGGCGTCCGCAGTCGGTATAGGCGGATAGTGTTGACCGTTATCGACCCCGGGGCGTTTGGCCGGTCAGCGAGCGATGGAGCCGCCGCCCGCCGCCCGCAACAGCCTCCAACTCACAGCAGGGTCGCTCGCGAGCGTCGCGTGACGGGCATGGAGGCTCTGGGCGGTCTCTGCAGCCGGTCCGCCGCCACGCCGACACCGGGAAAGGTCGGCGCGTGGAGCTGGGGTCATTCAACAGCTCTTAAGCCGGTTTGTGTTGCAGCCGGCAGCTCTGGACCGTGCCATTCAGGATTCACTTAGCAGCTGTGGCCACTGGACGAAGCCAGACAGGATCTAATTTGCAATTCCATCACATCAGGATGCGTCCAAGCGCCTTCAACAGGACTCTAACGATTGTCATGCACCGTGAAACCAGACCCTGTGCAGTCCCTACCCAGACACTGTCCTGCCTCTGTTCCCGTTCACCCTCTGCCCTGCTCCCGCTGCACACCTCTGCCTTCCTGTTTTGCGCTTCTTCAGTCATTGTCAGCGCGCTGTCTTAACGACAGTCCGGGCCTTGCCCCGTCTCTGCTCTGCCCACTGTCACGCTCCTGCCGTGCCCCCCCCCCCCCCCCTCCCGCCGGGTCTTGTCCCGCGTCTTCCTGCCCTGCCCTCTGCCAGGCCTTGTCCCGCCTCTGCTCTGCTAACTGTCACTCTCCCGCCCCGTTTTCTGACGGGCCTTGTCCCGCCTCTGTTCTGCCCACTGTCACTCTCCTGTCCCTCCCTCTGCCGGACCTTGTCCCGCTTCTGCCCTGCCCACCGTCACTCTTCTGTCCTGCCCTCTGCCAGGTCTTGTCCCGCTTCTGCTCTGCCCACTGTCACTCCCCTGTTCTGTCCCCGCCGGGTCTTGTCCTGCGTCTTCATGCCCTGCCCCCCCCCCCCCCCCCTGCCGGGCCTTGTCCCGCCTCTGCTCTGGCGACTGTCACCCCCTTGCCCTGACCTCCGCCAGGCCTTTTTCTCGCTTCTTCTCGCCCTGCCCTCTGCAGGGCCTTGCCCCGTATCTGCTCTGTCCACTGTCACTCCCCTATTCTGCCCTCTGCCGGGCCTTGTCCCGCTTCTGCTCTGCCCTCTGTCACTTCCCTGTCCTGCCCACTGCTGGGCCTTGTTCTGACCTGTCCTTCAACTGTGTGACAAGTTCGAACCCTGTCACGCTCGTTCAAAGCTGCCCGGCCACTGTCCTGCTCTCGGACGCCTATCTGGCCGTCATCTGGCCGCTGTCCGGCCGCTGTCCTGCCCTCGGACACCCATCTGGCCGTCATCCGGCCGCTGTCCGGCCGCTGTCCGGCGGCGTGCGCCGGCGGGACGCCGCGCGCGCCGCCAGTTTTTGCTGCTCGGCGCCCAGCCAGTAAGCCTCGCCTCAGCGGCGGTGATAGGCCAGCGACCCCGGCTGAACGGGTGCGCTGGACGGACGCGTCCGCCTCGGCCGCATGCCGAGCTGGCCCGGCCCGGCACGGGCACCGTGACCGTCGCCGGACGACCTCCAGCCGGTGGAGTGGTCAGCGCCAGCTGAAACTGATGTGGGCAGACTCTGTCGTGGTTGGGGTGTGTTGAGTTCCCTTGCGCCAAAAGCCAGCTGAAGCCAGAGCCGCCTGCCCTGTTCACTGGCGCCACGATTGAGCTAGAGCAGTGACAACGCGGCCGTTATTTTGTCCATCATAGGCTATCCAGACGACTTTTTGACCAGATAACCGGGTGACTTTGTGCACGTTTTATACACTTTAGTGCACTTTTGTGGTTATGACAAATCGCAACCATGACAAATCCCTGTCGTTTGGTTGGGGCTTAAAGTTTGAATCAGCCGTCCGGAGGGTGTTGCGACAAAAGAGCTATGAGAACCGGCTGTTGTTATATTTTGCCGCCGAGTTCCCCCTACTGAGGAGCTAGTTGCAGGTTGCAGATAGATATGTGTCCCTTCAACTTACTGCCAGGACTGTTGTTGAAACGCGGCAGCTCGCATCCTGTGTAGCACAACGGACTACGAGCTCAACAAAAACGCCCCGCGGCAAGTGGCTGCTCCGCACGCCACCTGCACAGGAACGGAAGGTGGGCGGTGGGAGGGGAGACGGCGCCCGTGCCAGCGCGTGCTGCGGTAACCCACGTCTGCTCCGGCGGCACGTGCAGCACACCAGCCGGCTCGGCCCGTGCCGCAGCCGCGAGGTCAGTGACTCAGGCGTGCAGCTGACTCGGTGAGGGCGGGAGAGCCTCGAGAGAGCCTCGGAAAGCCTCGAAAGTCCGGGCGGTGCGCCCGCGAAGCTCGCTGAGGTCCGCCGGCCGCGACCATCCCGAGCGCGTGACAACCCACGGCCTGCGCTGAGGTCAGGTCACCAGCAGATGTAGCAAGCGTCTGTCTGTCTCCGGACCCCGCGGGCTCACGTCGACCCCGCCGGACAGCGTCCTTCGGCGTCGTTCCGGTCTGGTGATGGTGGGTGGTATTGTTTTGTTGTTTATCGAGAAATCGCTAGCACGTATTTCTGGCAGCAGGGCATAATCTGAAACCATGAAGTTCAGCTCGTTAGTTGGTCGGAATCAGGTTGAATGTCATCCAGTTCGGATGTGCTGAAGACACCGATCATCTCTGGCTCCAATGTGACGTCTGGCTGAATGCCGAGCAGCTTTTTCTTTTGAAAACACAGGCTCGGATTGCAGCCGAAGCAGGATATTGAGCATTATGACGTTATTAAAACGGTCGTTATGATATGAAGTCCGCTAGCGACGCGCTCCATTTCCGAGAATCAGACATGGACCACACGATAAGCTTTTCAAAAATTAGCCAAAGACGTTTACTTCATCCATAGCGTCGAAATGCCACGCTCCGGATACATCTGGTCCTCCGGCGCCGACGCCTTGGTTCACTGTCCATGACTGGTCCAGCCCCGCTACGCGCAGATGTCCTGGTTCACTGTCCAGTGGCCAGAGCTGGTCCAGCTCTGCTCTGCGGTAAGGAGTCCACCTCCGCGCGGCCGTGATACCGTGACGTGATCCCGTCACGGGATGTCGTGACGCAGAGGCGGCGGCGGTGGCGGCGGCGGCGGCGGCCGACCCCACTGCTGCGATGATCCACCGTGACCGCAGCAGCCCCGGGGAGGCCCAGGGGCTCACCGCCGCCAGGGAGGGCAACCCCCGAGCCAGGCCCGGGTCAAACCCGGGTCGATGCCGCCGCGTCGAGGTGAATCAACAGGCGGCTGCGCCGGCTGTCTGTTGGTCCGCCGACTCGGAGCGGCGCGACCGGCGCCGGCGGCGGTCAGCAGAGTGAGACCGCCGCCGCGCGGAACGGGGCCAAGGTGAAACTGCTGGGGGCGGAACGGCTGCCGAGCTCGTGCCCCGTAGCTCCGGTCCGTACGGACACGCGGCGTGGTTTGAATGCAGTTCTGACCTCGGTGTGGGATGCGGCTCCAAGCCTTGCCGCGCGAGCACGAGCGCGAGGCGTCCCGTGCTGCTGGTACGTCCACAAACCCCGACGAGCGACGATCGTCACCCGCTCAGCCGCAGGGTGGGTGTGGTTCTCCCCCCGGCGTCGCCAGCACGGGGCCCGGTGGTGCGTCCGGCTGTCTGGCCACGGGACGCGACCGACTCGTGGCTCCTCAGCTGGCGCGGGGTGGAAGGGGAGTCCTGCGAAACCGATCGGCGCTCCGGCCGGCGCGGCCCGTCCGCGGTCATCTCGTCAAAGGTCTGGTCCAAACCGATCGGCGCTCGGGCCGGCGCGGCCCGTCCGCAGTCATCTCGTCAAAGGTCTGGTCCAAACCGGTTGGGGCGCGCCGGCTGGCCGGCTTCCGCCATGACCTGCACCAACTCAGACCACGCGCGGGCCGCACGCAATGGGCAGGGGAGGGGGAGGGCACAGCTGGCCAGAACGCTGTGCGTGCAGGGGAGGGGAACGAACACCGTACCGCCTCGCTCGACGTTGAGTCAGCTTGATATCGTATTTGGGCCTGGCTTGTTGCGGTATTTGAGCAGCGTATCGGTCGCGAATGGACCGGCGCTACAGGTTTTTATGGTTTGTTTCGTGTACGCGTCCGACCGTGGGAAGTCAATGCCGACGCAATTTAGATCGTGCGCTTCTGCGGTCAGCGAGGCGTTGTAGCACCAACGGAGCGGGAATTCTCACTGCGGTCCGGAAACGTAATCTGCGTAATCTGCGAACGACCGGGATGAAGAGCTCTCAGCGAACCATATCGGCCGTCAGCTCCTGACCCTCAGCGTCGTTCTGTATTAATGAGCCGAGGTGGCATTTAACCCCGGCTTAATCGGAGGAGCTCCGAGCGACTTCCGGACGGGAGAGACGTCGCCACGCCGTCCCGCCGCGCCGACGCCGACTGGGCTGGACTCCCGGGGAGGGACCTGCAGCGCGCCACCACGCCGGGTCGATATGGAGGCTTTGCGGGACCGGGTGACTCACCACCCCCGCCCCGGTCACGGGCCCACTGCCTTATACGGTGCTGCCGGTCCCGGGTGGCGCGCCGGCGGCCGCACCGCGGCGCGTCCCGCTGAGGTCTGTCCCCGGGCGATGGCGGCCCGCGTCCCGGGAACCGCGGCCGGCGACCGACTTCCTGGCGCCGTTCCGAGGAACCGGTCGCCGGCCGCCGGCGTGGCGCGGCGCGGCGCGGCGCGGCCGCCAGCGCACGTGATCCTGACGCTTGTGAAGCCTGGACGCGAGGACGCGGCGCCGGGGCCGGCTGGTGTGTGACGGCGGCAGGTCAGAGGTGCCGGAGACGGCGGGACCCGCGGCGGCTCGCCCCGAGCGACACACTGTCGTCCGGTCGGTCGGCCTCAACGGCAGCACCGGTGTGGCGTGGGATGCACGCGGTCATCTCGTTCCGTCACGTCACGAGACACGGCCGAGCGCTTCTCGTCGCGCCGTTTCGGGCAGTGGTCCGGAGCGGGGCTGGTCAGGACGCGGGACATCAATGCTGACATCTGTGAGCGCCTCACTCCGGCCGGGCCTTAACGGAGCCTCGCTCTGTCCGTACCATGTCTAACGGGACTTCTCCCAGCTGGTTTACTCGCAGCGGAGTCGCCTCAACTGGACCATTTGAAAAGGACGTTTCGCTAGGCCTTTCCTAATACCTATCAGAGAAGGACAACACTTGATCAAAACAGCGCGCGCTGAATTTGACCGTGTGTTTGCCTTTCACAAAAATGAAAGTGCCATTGTTTTGAAAAAACGGGTTCGGGCCCGCTGTGCCGTGCTGCACATGTCCTCAGCCTTCACACCCAGCCGACTGCCGGCCGACAGTGCCGTTTGGCGGTCAAGCCGCTGTCCGGGGTTGACGTCATTCCCGCCCATGTGACACTTCCCGGTGACGTCATGATTCGGGTCACTAACCGGGCGCCGTCAGTGCCGCAATCCCCATTGGAAACGTACCTACCTGAGCTGCCACCGATGACGTCGCAGCTGTCTACGTCATACACGAGCGACTATCCTCCAAGCAGAAGGAGCTGTTGTGACGCATTTGCCTCTGGCGTCACAGGTTGCAAGTTGTGGACAACTGTTGGTAACGCTGAACGCGGCCCAGGGCTTCACCGCGCCTGAGCGCATGAGGGAAGATCAATGCGGCTTGCCCCTCGGCCCTTGAAAGCCTGATCGTCAGACCGGAAACATTCGAGCGGAATTCGGTAGCCCAGGTTGATTTCAGCTGTACGTCGCTGGGTCGATATTTGGCACGTGAATGCTTATTTCACAGGTCGCGCAAAGCGCGTTAAGATCGTCACAACCTTTTGACGCTTCCAGGCTTCTCTAGCACGCCTGGTAAAAGTTGAGCGGATTGGTAACTAGCACCGAGCTAGAGCGCGTTCTTGCACTTCTGAGCATTTCAGGGTGGTATCATAGGCCAAGGGTGAGGGTAAGGTCAAGGTCATTTCAGGATAAGCTTAGATGCATTATCTGGTATGATTTTGTTGCTTCTCCGGTTATCATAATGTGCATGAATCGTTGTTTTGTTTTCTAAATCTGTCAGCCATATATCACGAATTCTGTATGTCATGAACGAGCACAGCATTGCTTTTGATTTGACCATTCAAGATTTTCCTCAAGTTGTCATAGATTCCAGCTGATTCCAGTGGAGTATCGAGGGGCAGGGTCACTGGCCTTCTTAGGAAGCAGGATTTGTGTTTAGTTGTTATGGGTAAATATTTGCCGACGTTTGCTATGCAGTCATTTGAGCGAGAAAAATGCGTTGAGATTGTGGCTGCCTCCCCTACCGCCCCTTTCCCCTACCTCCACTTATGCCGCCACTGGCTGCACATCACGATCCGGCGTCGTGCTCGTTCGGGACCCCCTCCCCTCCCTGCAGCCGCGGCGCCACGACGGCCGCCAGCCCGTCGCCGGCCAGCCGACGCCGGCAGCGCCGTGCTGCGGCCAGCCGCGGAACTAACGCGATAGAACTCGGTCAGGGTGGGAGCGTTGGCGGCGAGCGCTGGGCTGATGGGTGTGGCAGCGGGGACCTAGCCTTGGTGGGTGCGCATGTGTGTGTGTGTGTGTGTGTGTGTGTGTGTGTGTGTGTGTGTGTGTGTGCGTGCGTGCGTGCGTGCGTGCGTGTGTGTGTGTGTGTGTGTGTGTGTGTGTGTGTGTGTGCGTGCGTGCGTGCGTGTGTGTGTGTCTGGATTAAAGTTAGGGGGGAGGGGGGCGTCGAGAGTGAAATGTTTCGAAATTCTTTACCATGTGACATCCTTGAGCCGATGCGAAAGTTTGTCCCCAAGTCCAAGTGGCAAATGATATCCTATATCAAAAATTAGGGAGCGCTGTGATCCCCTGCCGCTCTGGCACCCTCGTATCAAAGCATGCCCCGCTCGAGGTGCGAGGAGCTAGTCTGTCACGCTGCGCCGGAGATTCACAAACCACAGAGACATTGACGCACAAAGTGTTTTCCATTGGTTGTCACGTATGATTAAAAGGCTAAGAGCATCCAAAGAGGGTCATTCGCGCCATTTTATGAAGTGAAGTCATCTGATGGACATCAAATCGGTATGTAGTCTGCGTGGGGAACGATAGCGTCCCCCGTTCCTCCCCTTCCGGGTCCACATGTTTCGTACGCCCCATCGCCGTGCACCAGTCGCCACGCCCAACGTCCACACGGCAGCGAGCAAGCTGACTCGATTTCCGCTGTTTGATTTCAGACGAGTTCGTCGCCATGACGACGGTGGACGCGGACTCGGTGACGTCAGGATATGAGGAGGTGCGCTCCGACCAGGCGCCGGACGTGACCTGGTGAGCAGGAGGCGGTGAGCGACCAGCGCAAGCTCAGCGTGCACACTCCAGGCGCATGCTGACGGCAGTCTGGCGTACACTGAACTGTCTAACGGTGGTCTGGCGTACACTGGACTGGCTAACGGTGGTCTGGTATGCACTGGACTGGCTTACGGTGGTCTGGTGTGCACTGGACTGTCTAACAGTGGTCTGGTGTACATTGGACTGTAACGGTGGTCTGGTGTACATTAGACTGTCAAACGGTGGTCTGGCGTGCATGGACTGTCTGACGGTGGTCTGGCGTGCACTGGACGGTCTGACGGTGGTCTGGCGTACACTGGACTGTCTGACGGTGGTCTGGTGTGCACTGGACTGTCTGACGGTAGTCTGGTGCGCACTGGACTGTCTGACGGTGGTCTGACGTGCACTGGACTGTCTGACGGTGGTCTGGTGCGCACTGGACTGTCTAACGGTGGTCTGGTGTACACTGGACTGTCTAATGATGGTCTGGCGTACACTGGACTGCCTAACGGTGGTCTGGTTTACACTGGACTGTCTAATGGCTGTCCGGGATACGCCGGCTATCTTTTTCGTTTAGCTACAAGTGCCCTTCATTTATTTCTGACCTGCATCAGTGATTAGGCAGGCACGATTCCCGGGGTCTTATCGCCTTTGGTCGGTGTAGGCACCTAGGATTTTGCTCTGAGGCAAATCACAATCACGATGGTTTGTGGAACAACAGAGACAAAGTACTTTCATTGATATCGCAACGCAAGCAGTATTGGACTTCTTGTAATGGAGCCAACTCCATGCCAAACAAAACATCAATACAAAGCCCCCACCATATGCCACAGTTTATCGCAGGGTGAAGCAGGTCATATCGCGAAAAGGAGTTCATTCAGAAGTCAGTTATGACTAAAGCAAACGTGTGCTCTCCAAGCTCCAACTGCTACAGATGTTGCTGAATGCAATAGCTGTCTGCAGATGTGCGAATGTTTATGCTATCCGCGTTAGATGTGAGGAGGCTCAGAGTAAAAACTGGTACAAGTCTCCCTGCTCTCTATAAACAACCCTTTCCTATCCGTGCATACAAACAATGCTGACCACAGACATAAACATTGGGCGCTTCAATTGTCACACGAATGTATTTTGGAACAGATATTCGCATACGCCCTAGGCTATTGATAGGCTTCCGTGCAGCTGAATCAGCATCAGTTTAAGTTGAATGGGTGGTCGATGCGTGAACTGCTGCATCTGTGGAGTTTGATGCTCTATTCAATATAATTGTATTTGGTTGCTCACCCACCATTTTTGAGGATTGTGATTCGGACCGTTTTCGATCCAGTATTTTTAAGTTTTAAGGCCAGGGCGTCACTTTCTCAAATCAGTTGAAAGTTCGATAACATAAGCCTAATGTAACCCCCACACCTGGTGTGTGGTCGGATTTCGCCCACTTAAATTTTCGTTTCGATGTCAAAATGTTGTCTTATGCGTCCGATGAAGTTACTTCCCCGAAAAATGACTTTCCATTTCCAAGTCATTTTAAACTTCAGCTTCGTGAAAAAAGCTTAGAATTGGTCGTAATTCACACACACAAAAAATCGCAAAAATGTCAAGTGAGTGCTACTGGACCATCGGATCACTTGCACGGATTTAAGATAACATAAACTTGTGCTAGTTTAAAATTCATGCCAGTTTGGTGATCCCTCGAGGCCCCAGCGTGTTCAGCTGGTAGCAGGGCTCGCCAAGCATGTGCCAATCGGCTGAAAGGAATGCGCTCACGGAGAAACGCAGCGTATGAGGTGTCTTGTAAGCTCAGCCCAGTGATGTTGCATGAGCTATGAAGGCAACACGGAACGGCCAGTGATGTTGCATGAGCTATGAAGGCAAAACGGAACGGCAGCGTTCGGACCGGGTTTATGAACACCTTGGAAACGCGCGTTGTGGAGAGTGCATGGACCACTATTTGAACACATGGCGGCCCGGTACGCGGCCATGGGACATGGTGCAACAAACACTGCTCAGTATTTAACACATGGCGGTCCGATACGCGGCCATGGGAAACGGTCCAACAAACACTGCCCAGGATTTAACGCATGGCGGTCCGATACGCGGCTGTGGGACATGGTGCAACAAACGCTGCTCAGGATTTAACACATGGCGGTCCGATACGCGGCCATGGGACATGGTCCAACAAACACTGCCCAGGAATTAACGCATGGCGGTCCGGCACGCGGCCATGGGACATGGTGCAACAAACGCTGCTCAGGATTTAACATCGCTGCTCGGCCGTAATCATATTCGGAGGCTGAACATACAAACGTCGTCTTGTGGTTTTGGCAATCTCACGCTTAGCGTTTGAGAAACTGAGAAAGAGTTCTTTAGTCGTTGCGGCAAGCACCGACATCCGCCGATAGGTTTTCATGTTTTTGCTCGGCACGTGTCATCGAAACCTTTCGGTTCAGTCGCCGGTGTCTTGGGCAGCCCCTAGCGCAGTGCGGCGTACTGGGCGACTGGCAGGGCACCACAGCTCGAATTATTGAATGCTCGCGATGTCCGTGCGATGTTCTGAATGCGACGCTCGTGCTCCGGAAATTGCCAGCCTTGTAAAGCCCTTATACCTCAAAGCAACCCACCTTATGCTTAAAAGCTGCCACATACTGCAGGCCATGTTGTGTCCCGGTTCAACATGTGAGGTACCCACAGAGCACTATGTGGTACGAAAGAATGTGATACCAATACTGATGGCTTCAGGTATCTAGTGTGCCATCAATTCAGGGACATTGCCTACATTTACTTGGTCCAGTATTCCATTTGTGTGCATATTCATCTGGGAGGGGGCTCAGATTAGCATTGGGGGGGGGGGGGGGGGGGAGAAGGGGTGGGGCTACCGTGAACGTAAAGTGACACTCCTGGCGAGAGGTGCAGGCTAGCACCCATAACATTTGAGGCAATAGCAAGACGCAATGCCCAGAGTCTGAGCTGAGCTGACCGGAGCAGGGACGCCGTGTCGACCGGAGCAGGGACGCCGTGTATCGACCTCGCCGTGTCATGACCTCGCTCGTCTGACTGCAGGATGGTGCTCAAGTATGAGGGCAGTCAAATCATCTGCTCCAGCACCGGAGACGGCTTCGACGCCTTCCAGCAGCACTTCGGCGACGGGGACCGAGCGTTCGGCTACCTGCGTATCAACGTCAGTGTACCGTGATGGGCGTATCAACGTCAGTGTACCGTGATGGGCGTATCAGCGTCAATGTACCGTGATGGGCGTATCAACGTCAGTGTACCGTGAGGGGCGTATCAACGTCAGTGTACCATGATGGGCGTCTCAACGTCAGTGTACCGTGATGGGCGTATCAATGTCAGTGTGCGGTGATGGGCGTATCAACGTCAGTGTACCGTGATGGACGTATGAACGTCAGTGTGCCGTGATGGGCCCATCAGCGTCAGTGTATCGTGATGGATGCATCTACGTCAGTGTACCGCGATGGGCGCATCAATGTCGGTGTACCGTGACGGGTGCATCAACGTCAGTGTACCGTGATGGGCGTATCAACGTCAGTGTACCGTGATGGGCGTATCAACTTCAGTGTATCGTGATGGGCGCATCAACGTCAGTGTATCGTGATGGGCGCATCAACGTCAGTGTGCCGTGATGGGCGCATCAACGTCAGTGTACCATGATGGACGTATCAATGTCAGTGTACCGTGACGACCGTTTCCACTCCCGGGAGGGGGGGGGGGGGGGGAAGCGTGTGTGGCGGACGTGTCCGCCGTGCCGACCATCGCTCCGGATAATGTCCTGCAGGACGGTGCAAGAACTTACGAACGCAAAACAGCAGGTTTCCTTTCGGAACATGTCGAGAACCGGGTCGCTACTGAGTTGTTCAACTGTCCATCGCGTTGCAAGCTGCGTATCAGCACTTAGCTGCACCCAAGCGATGTGGTCAATGTCATTACCGTACGGGATTTTTTCCATGTACACTCGCGGACATTGTTTTGCACGGTGCGCATGTGCGCTCCCCCCCCCCCCCCCCCCCACACACACTCGCCTTGCCCCGAGCTATTTTGCCCGTACTGCCAGGATGTACTCTGATTTGCGTGTCCGCGTCCGCGTCGTCAGCCGACTCCCTTTCCGTTGCTGATCAGCGCAGTCCATGATATGTCCAAGCTGCATAGAACCCATTGTCCTAGAGCCCTGCACTGAACCTCCCGATCACCGTGGCCTGGTTTGACCCTGTGTCGAGCTGTATGGGCCATGTTCTATTCACCGGCCTGCTCTCCTCGCGTGGCCTTCTTCGGCTTGCTCACCCCTGCCTGACTCATGGCACTTCTGCTCCCCGCAATGACACATCGGACCAGGGGCGTAGTTTCCTGTTGGGTTGGAGTTCCAGCCCCCTCCCTCAACACTTAACCCTCGCCGGAACAGCGGGATCGATGCGACCTCCCTGAGGTTTTCTGGGGTACCTCTCTGGCATGTCGTTCAAGCACGCCCAAATTCTCAGCGGCCTACGTGGCGTCCACTGCGCGTGTTCTGACACCAAAGACGTGTCCCAGTTTGTCTAGTGTCGGGGCAGGGGACGTTTTTCGAGGAACACTGCGTGGTGGCCTACGGCAGACGCGGGCGGCGAGCGGCAGCCGACGACTCCACGGGCTGCCCTCGGCGAGCCGGCATTGTTACGATAACGGAGTCACGCATCTTAATAATGGACTCAAAATGCATACAACTGTGAGCTGTTGTATTCATAATTAACAAAGAAGAACGCCTGTTTAGGGTGTGTGTCCCTACGACCCACGGCTTCGTACATATGAGTATAGCAAGATGAAAACGTTATTCTTTCGGGAATTTGGACCTTTGATCTGACATGATAAAGTCAATTATTAACATAAAAACATGAAACTATTACTAATTAAGAGATCAAGGTGTGGATAATTCACTGGTGGCTTATGCTAAGTTCTATCTTTCTTAATTTGGAAACGGCAGATGGGTCGTCCTCGACCGCCTCGCAATCCGCGTCATGAAAAACGGCGAATCAGGGGAATGGCAAACTCCAGCCCTCTCCCTCACCTTTGAGAAAACTTTGTTCAAAATCCGGTAAGAGAGTCGTTCGTTGGCGTAGTTTGGGGGTAGGCTGCATCATTTGTCACTTCTCAATACCAACTCAAGCTGCGAAGCTTTGTCCACGCATCTGACCGTTGTGGCTTCTGCTCCCTCGGCGGATCTTTTGACTTCTGTGACTTCACTCTCCTTGCTCCCTCATCTGCCCGCTGCTCCGCATTTATCTGCCCGACCCCTATGACCCTGCCGTCCGCTGTGACCCCTGCGACCCCGCATCGGAGGCGTTAACCTGCTGGGCGCCGCAGACGGGTGACGAGATGAGCCGTCGGACCAAGTTTGTGCTGCTCATCTGGCTGGGACCTGACGTCAGCGTGCTGAAGCGGGCCCGCATGTCCACCGACCGGGCCGTAGTCAAGAGTATCATCCAGGTCAGCACGCGCGCCGATGGGGTGACCCTGGTGGGGTCGCCGCCCACGAGACGCGAAACGGCGCGGTGCTTAGTTTTGGAGTGTCGGCTCCGGCGTAGCCCACGATACTATGGCTGACACTTAAGTCGGCGTTATGATCCTCGGTAACCGTACCAACTGCAAGTCACCATTTTTACGAGCGAGGAACGATTGCTCTTTATCCTCCTCGCCAGCGGACATCCCTGGGCGCATTCACCGGCCTGTCGGGTCCCTGGCAGCTCTGCAACTCGGGGGCCTCGTCGGGCTTCTAACCGACCGTGCGTGCGGCGATTTCAGAACTTCTCGGTGGAAATCATGCTGGAGTCGCGGGGGGAGCTGGACCTGGAGTACATCCGCTCCCGGGTGGAGAAGGCTGGCGGCTCTGTTTACGGCACCGGCAACTGACCTGGCGCGGGTCACAGATGCCTACCCGACGCAGCCACGGCTGAACGGACGCGGCCACAGCGGCGTCGCAGCCGGGCGGCGGGTCACAGGCGCCCACGAACAATCCCAGCTGACCTGACACCGGTCACGACAGGGGCCGGTGGCCGGCTCCCGCCGACGTGACGTCACTGCCGGACGTGACGTCTGGTTCCAGCAGGTGTGACGTCATAACCTGTCTCGCCGCGGGCAGAGGAAAGCTTCCGCCGATTCATCGCCTCTGGAGTTATGGGACATTGTTCGCCATCCGCCATCCGGCGGAGCGCCCGGCCACCGGCCGCGTCGCGGTACTGGTGCGGCCAGCGGGCGGGGTGGTGCGATGTTTGTCATTGTATTGTTGCTGCGCGCGTGGTCGCCGTCACGTGTTCGGTCCCGTGGCATCGACTGCTGTCAGTGCCTGCCTGCGCTGTGATGGGTCAGGATCACGCATCTTTGCACTGTGATTATGCGAGAGCCCGGCGAAGGACGGCGGTGTCGATGCCTAGTCTTGCCGATTGCTCGCCAAACATTTTTTAAGCCAGAATGGGCCACCCCTAGGCCATAGGTTTATGCTGGTGTGCGCCGTCCTAGGCTATTCCTGTATTGCTCTTTTGCATTTCCATTATGGAACGCTTTATTTCGTTTCATATGGTAGACTCATTCCAAGACAATGCCATCATTCCAAGAAGCTGCGATTTCCTCAGCGTTTGCGTTCGCGAAAGCATTTTCGCGGTTGGAGGGTTTCCACCTCTGCAACGCGTAAATTTTATAATACACAACGCTAAGCGCACGTGTTTGGATGTCTTGCTAGTTCAGGACGTGCTTGCAGAACGAGTGCTACCAAACTGTCTCTAGGTTGCCCATCACCCAGGCTCTCATCTCGCGGATGTGCCCCCCCCCCCCCCTCCCCGTGTTTTGGACGCGATGGCAAGGTGGGACGTTGCTGTCACGACGGGCCTAGGTCCTTTTTCACGTTTCACGTAAGCCGAACAGCACGTTCTAAGATGCCGGACGGCCTTCGAGATGGTGATTTCGATTCGCGCTCCGTCCGTCCGCTTGTTTCAGCGCATGCCATGTGATAAAAGCCTCTCGATCATTCTCACCGTACTGATTCACCACGCTGCGGGTGGGGAGCCGCCGCATTACTATATGAGAAGCCGACAGTCTGTCTGCAGCTTTAGATAGCTTCAAACTTGATAGCTGACTGAGCTTGAAGCGTACATCATTCCCTGTATGCAGCACTCTGTACACCTTTCAACAAGTTCTTGCATTCAATTATCATTTTGTGTTGCCAATTTTAAGCTGGCGCGGAGGCCTCAAACTTTTTATAAGAGAACGTTGTACACACCCAACGATTTGTAAAGCCGCGCAGTCACTTTGGAGCTGGTGTTGTTCTACCTCACCAAAACGATGCACAGTTAAGACCTGGGATGTTCAGAACCTTAAACAGCAGTTTGTAATGCGTGATATACATGCCAACTACTCAATGCTTTAAAAAGTCAAAACAACCCTTTTAAAAGTCGTAATGCCACATCTCGTACGTTTGAACGGACAAGCTTTGTTGTTTTAACGTGAGTGCAGCAAAGTAATGCAGGACATTATCTCGAAACAAAAGGGAGATTTTGCAAAGGCAGAGCCCGTCTCGTCACAATGCGAGGAGGTGATGGCGTACGGTCTGAATCACCTTTGCGTATCTCATGCCTCATTAGGTGTTGGTGGTTGACTTGCATTTGCATGTTGTAACTTCACGACGGCCTTGAACGTTCCATACCATTCACGCTGACTTGTCGCCGCGTGCAGACGAGCAGGCCCGGCCCGTGCACCGCCCGCCATCCCCCCTGACCAGCCCGGACAGGGCCGCCCGCCATCCCTCTTGCCCAGGCCGGGCAGGGCCGCCCACCAGCCCTCCTGCCCAGGCCGGGCAGGGCCGCCCACCAGCCCTCCTGCCCAGGCCGGGCAGGGCCGCCCACCAGCCCTCCTGCCCAGGCCGGGCAGGGCCGCCCGCCAGCCCTCCTGCCCAGGCCGGGCAGGGCCGCCCATCAGCCCTCTTGCCCAGGCCGGACAAGGCCGCCCGCCATCCCTCCTGACCAGGCCGGGCAGGGCCGCCCACCAGCCCTCTTGCCCAGGCCGGACAAGGCCGCCCGCCATCCCTCCTGACCAGGCCGGGCAGGGCCGCCCACCAGCCCTCCTGCCCAGGCTGGGCAGGGCCGGACGGTATCACCCGCTCCTATGCCCCGCCCGCCATCCCTCCTGACCAGGCCGGGCAGGGCCGCCCGCCATCCCCCCTGCCCAGGCCGGGCAGGGCCGCCCACCAGCCCTCCTGCCCAGGCCGGGCAGGGCCGGACGGTATCACCCGCTCCTGTGCCCCGCCCGCCATCCCTCCTGCCCAGGCCGGACAGGGCCGGGCGTGCGCAGGCCGGGCCGGGCCCATTGTCAGGCGGTGCCTGCAAACGACACTCGGCTGTTTGTAAGGCTCATGGGAAAGGAGGAAAATGATCGAGCTCAACAGTTGATTAAAATCTACGAGCAGAGGCCGGGAATCCAATGCCTGAGGTCGACCAATCGACGAGACTTCGGGTGCTGGTGTCTAAGCGACCAATTGCTTTAGCTTGAATGCTTGAATTTTCTAAACGGAATGTTTCACACTTGAAGACATGACAGCAAGCATCAGATATAGTGAAATAAGCCCACCTGTAACTATTGATATTCTTTTAAAGTGGAAAAGACTGCTGTAGACAGCACAATTCTCTAGTTAGAAAATATGATGCTTAATGCTTCGTGGTTTGATAACGTCATCGTAGTTTGCTCAACATCGATTGAGAACCAATTGACCGTCGTCATATCTGGAAATGGTGCCCACGAATGCCAGATATAAACACCTGGACAAGTATATATGTCCTGGTCATGATCGCGGCGTGGCCTGTGGAGTGATAATACTTGAATGACGTTATTATGGCACCGTGAATGACGAGGCTACTTTAAAATACTCTCCCCGGTATACCTTTCCATTTTCTTTTTTGTAGGCGTATTGCTAAAAAACTAGAGTGGTTTAGGTCTTAAGACGGAAAGGATTGTGACCAGCACCGGAAGGTCTTCAAGATGGCTATATCAGTTCAAAGCCCCATATAAATCCGGAGCGCTCGCTTTAAAGATTTAATGTTTCAAAAACCATCATTAGGATGATGCTTCTTGCTCGATATTGTCAACGCCAGTCTAACTAACGGTCTCGTCCCAATCGTCTGTAGCCATGCTCCAGTGATAGCGATACCTAACGGAAATGCATAATTTAGCCCCGCTGGTCGGCGCCCGGGCCGACTATTACGGCCATCACGAAAGTGGCGGCTGCAAAATACGTCCCCGCACTTTTGTGCCGATCTTACGAAGGCGGCCTATTGAGTATCTCAAAACCAATCGCCCCCCAGCCAGCGCCCAGCACGGCTACAGAACACACAGCCTTGTTTCAGATAGTAATCTAGCCGAAGGGACAGTCTCGTTACTACATTACGGCTGTTGGGCTCTACATGTCGCTGCTAATGATATTGTCCATGAGATTTACAGTCAGAATATCTTCTTGATCACCAGATTCTGGGATTATAGTCAGCAATGTCGTGGTGAAAACCTGCGCTCGAACCTGCAGGGGTTGGGCGCAGAGCCGTATGGGCGCCTCCCTTTTCGAACCTGCTGGGGCAGGGGGCAGAGCCGTATGGGCACCTCCCTTTTCGAACCTGGTGGGGTTGGGGGCAAATTCGTATGGGCGCCTCCCTTTTCGAACCTGCTGGGGTTGGGGGCAGAGCCGTATGGGTGCCTCCCTTTGGCGGCGCCACCGAACGCCGAATGCTGTTCAGGATTCCCCCACTCGACTCCCTGCAAGACCACTTTTCAAACCACCAAATCCGCCAAACGGAGGGTGATGTGCAACGGAAAGACCAAAATGGTCAGAGTGAGCATCACCTTACACTCATCGGCGCTACCATGCCGGGCGGCACTCTCCATCTTGTTACGCCGGGCGTGACGACTCGGGTTATTTACGTGATGTGTTGCCTGAGTGTGTAAGACGTTTCCAGATGTCATCGGTAAGATATCGATTAAAATACACGGGGTCTTTTATAGAGACTGTATGAGCATTTGTTGTTGTATCAAGACGAGTTGCAATTCATGGTATACCGATGGATGATCGGTATGGGCTAGGAACCCGTTTAACATTGGCTCGTTGTAATTTAAACTACTCGTAATACATAAAGCTTGTCGTGTTTTGTCGCAGTACGTCTGTTAGTCTGCTTTGACTGCACTGATGAGCCAAAACAGACGTCCACACAATCCCCTGGGAGCTCTCACAGCCGTCACAGTCAATGTCAAACACGCTGGGACGCTTGGCAGATGGAAGATATACACACCACAGTACGTCCTCCAACCGGCGCTCACGTGCGCGCGCAAAAGGGCGGGGCGGATGGCTGGCTGCCCGCTCTGTGCTGCGAGAATGGCGCCCTCCATACGGCGAGAGACGAGGGCGATGAGGAGACGCGAGACGTAAGCGTGGTGGGAGGGACGGGGCTCACGTGCTCCCATGTCACACCTGTGCCCTGTGTCTTCCGACGAGAGTGCTATCGTCGTCATTGGGGCTTTATGACGCACTCAGCTGGTGAGGCTATATGGTGTCGCCTATCTCTCACCATGCCAGGAAGGGCTGATGGATTCGAGTCTCGTGTCTCTGGTTCCCAGGCGCGAGCTCAACTACTGCATATCGCTAACCACAAGTTAACTACCAAGACATCCGAGAAAACACTGGTGTGGCATGGGTGTCTAGCCAGACCAATTATAGACCGCAAAGTGGCACATTATGTTACCTGAGTTGATGGGGCGCGCGGTTTTTTTGGGGGGTTGGGTAAGTGACACACTGCCAGCTTGCTTCACGTATCGCGTTTAGCTTTTATCCTTATCGATAGAGATTCTAGTGGATAAAGGTCCTTACAGATAAAGATGTCTCGAATAAAGATCCTTACGGACAAAGATACTTTCGGATAAAGATCCTTATGGGTGAAGAGCCTTACGAGTAAAAATCATCCTTACGGATGAAGACAAGCCCTCGCGTGTGAGTAAATCTGCCTATCGGATACACCGCTCTTCTCGGCGAGAGCAGCGCTCAGACGCCTGATTCCTCCACCGGAAGCCAAGTCGCAATCTGCTGGAGCCGGATGCGGTTTACGTCCAGGAAGTGTTACACGTTCCAGTTGGGATTGCGGTCCGGCTGCGGGAAACGAAGGCACTCTGCACCGTTCTGGAGCCAGCTACATGCGCAGTCTACGCACACAGTGGCGGGTCCAGAGAGGGATGTGACCATGCCCCCCTGGCCCGAAGGGTCACCAAAATATCGTGGTGGAGAAGCATCAAAATCCTTGCTTCGAATCCACTAACTTTTATTCTCAACGGGCACCAAATTTCAGCAACTCTATAAATGGTCCCACAGGCATATAAATGGTCCCACATTTCCGACAGGCACCGAAGTCCAGGAGCACCACAAGGGCCCCAAACTTTCATTCTCGAGGAGCATCAAATTTCGTGGACACAGTAATATTGTGCCTCCCACCCTGACGACGAAGTTGGCCCTTTGTGCTAGGGCGCACCAAAACCTGTATTTGGCGACACTATAACCATAATTTTCCTGAGACGCTGTATCCAGGAGGATTGCTTAAGGGGCCTAAAACCTTGATTTCAAAAGTGCACAAGAATCCAGAGGTATCACAATTTCTGTATGTTCCACCATTACAAAATTCTGAATCATCCCATTTCACGAAAG